GCATTAAATTGGAACATGGTTCCAAGTCCACTTCAATAAACTGCAAGAGAGGACTGTATGCCAAGCTCCTTGTCAATATAAGAGAACTACATCCTGCTGACATATGGCCATCTTGTGCCAACCAAAATGCAGAGCCTTCCCTGCTATTACACAGAGTGGAGCAGACATCTCAGATGGTTGATCTGGAGTGGTATGAAAGAGCAGCAATTGTTAGTTGTTTCATTTCACAGTATTGTGCTTTAACTCACAGGGGAATACGATTGTGGGAGTTTCTGACTTAGGTGCCAATATAAGTTGGTGTACCTCAAGTACTATGCATTTTAACTTGCATGTGCTTAGGGCAGTGATCACCATTTGCTGTTCCACCTTGGGCAAGAAAATGGACTAGTTCTCCCAAAGAGGAACACTAACAGTATTTACATAAACACTGCAGGAGTTCCTGTTAACAATCAGAGATCATGAATAAACAGGGCCTTCTGCCATCATCCCCTATTTCACACCACTCCGCTCCATACTGTATAATATTTTCCTGACCACACAAACAAGAACTATTTTGTCATCACGACAGAGCTAGTCCTAACATTAAGCAGCATGAGACAATGGCCTCAAGAGGCAGGAGAGGAGTTTCAGCCACCCTCTGAGATTTCACAGCTCTTCCAAGATGCCACACAATTCATCCTGAACCCAGTGGCATCACTAGTGTTGGCATTACTCAGTGTGGTAACTCATGGTATCACTCCATCCCCACTGACTTCCTCCTATATCACACCATACAGAATCCTTAGTAATGTTTTTTGTACTGATGTTACTCATAAATTGTAATTTCCATATATCACTGAATGTAACAGCAATGGTTGTGACAAAAACTAGCAAAATTTAAATTGTACCTTAAAGTACAATATCACATGCACAGCCTAAATGTACTTACATGTATATTGTTTTATGTGATTAAAGAGATTTTTTTTATTTTTTAAAAAAATACATTTAAAATTTAATTTTAAAAAACTGGCTTCTCCTTTCTCTTACCACTGAGCCTTGCCCCACTCTTAAGCATTTTAAAGAGATGCAGGTGAATGCCACTGCCTATTTCTGCCAAAGGGCAGGTGTTTGGGGAGCATTGGTGTCACCCCACCTTAGGGTGTCATCTGGGGCATCCCACATCCCTGCACTCCCTGAATGACACCTACCCTACCCCTGAAACTAGCTTGATGACTCTGATGTACTGAGGAAATTTCCTACTACCAACACTGAAGATTAAACTGCCAACCTAGCTAGCATTTGGGAAAGGGATGCCAGTTATCCTTTGCTTCAGAATGCAAATTATTTCTTACCAAAGTTAGCATTGATTTAGTGTGTATGTGTGTGCCTTCAGGTTGCCTGCTGATTTATCAATTTCATAAGATTTTCTTAGGCAAGGGATACTCAGAGATAGTTTTGCCAGTTCATTCCTCTGAAATATAGCCCATAGCACCTGGTATTCATTGTTGGTTTCCTATCCAAGTACTAACCAGAGCTGTCCCTGCTTAGCTTCAAAAAGCAGACAGGATCAGACAGGATCTGATCAGCTATGTAGCTCACTGGATTACCTTGGCCAGGTCACCACTGCTCAAACTAACTGACTTCACAGGGTTGTTGTTAAAATAGAGTAGTGGGTGAGAGAAACAAAGACATAACCACTGTGAGCTCCTTGGAAGACATGTGCAATTTTAAAAAATGCATTGAAAAATAAAGGTTCACACAATGTTTCCCCACTCTCTCTCTCTCACACACACTAGAAGCACACTTGATGGGGTTGTGATGTTGTGCCTGCTAGGCCCTTTCTCTGAGAAACTGGCCACACAAAATTCTTCCTATAAGCAAAGATCCTGGCTAAGAAATGTGTTCAAGTCTGTGCTCTGTAGCACCAGAAGCACATCAATAGGAAGCCAGAACTAAGGAAAGTCATGTGAATCCCACTAAGTAGTATGCAGGGTATATAGACTAAATACCCACTGTTGCTTCTCTGATCAGCCCTGGAACAGGAATCCTGTGGAAGGCTAAAGTCAGAATATCACATGGTATATTCTGTTCGCGTATCAATCTAAATCAGGAGGATGGAAATCCATTCAATCAATCCTTGAATCACAAATTGTATAGAAAATGTGGACCTGTGTGGCCAGTAGTTCAAGCTCTGGAAGATAAGATGCTACCACCACACTGCTTAAAGTCTAGGTCAATTGTAAGCTCTCAAAGTCTGTGCTATACCAGGTTGCCAACACTTTCCTTTGTTCTAATATGTCTTGCAGAGTTGTTGACAATGGGACACATGTTTAAGCTTCTTCTGGCACAGAGGGGAAAATCCAAGTTGATGTAATCAGACCAAAAACTTTTTCTTCTTTCTGTCTCATCTCTATTTTTTTCCTCCAAAAAGGTGAAGAGGGAAATCACTTATTTAGTTCCTATGCTCCAACGGCCAGCTTTCTCCTTAATTTTCACTTTCACAAAGAGCAGTTGGGCAGCAATTGATGGAGAAAACACAGCAGACAGCCACCTTGTAAATGAGAAGCACTGGTAGTAAAAAGGAATCTGTATATCACCAGGAGTAGAGAGTGTGTCTGCCTTATAAATTTAATTAAACAGCAGGTGCAAAATCAGGTCATATGGCTTTCATGTGCCCCATGTGAGGATGACAACTAAACAATGATTCTAATATGAAGAAATTTGCATACATTTGCATCAGATTCCATGGAACACAGGGCAGCTCTCACCTTTTCCTTGCATGTCACTTCTGGGAAGCTGATTACCTGAATGAACAGAGTGCTGTCCCTTTAGTTTCTCCTTCCAAAACCAAGAAATAATGCCATTCTGGCGTAGCCAAGGCCATATGGGGAATTTGCTTTCATTTAAAAGGTAAAAAGGAACTGCTGCCTGATAATTGGGCATTTCAGACAACAAAATGCCTTCCTGTAATTGCTTAAATCAAAATGAGAGGGAAAGAGTAGAGGTAAAAACATGCAGAAGTATTTTTAAAAAGAAACAGAAATAGTAAACCACATCTTTGTTTATTTACATTTTTGTGTGCTTTGGATAGGGACACCTCTCCAAAGTTTGAAAGATTATTTGCAAAAAATACATTTAAAAATTAATTCCCTTTGCTCATTACAATGCATTAAAGTAATTTTTTGCTCATGCTAGTTAACTATGTTTTAAAACTACCTTGTTGTGGCATTCATTACTTACTATTGATTAAAGAATGGCTTAAATTTGGGAAGAAATCCACTCACAAGGATTCTAATAGTCTGTAAATTCCTTTTAAAAGTAACTAGGAAGAGTAACTAGGAAAAAAAACCCCTTGTTGCACCAAAAGTTATGTTGTACCACTTTTGAAATGTAACTTTACGACAAGCTCATTACCCAAGAGAGATAAAACAAAACAAAACAAAACAAAATGTATTTGGGAAATCATCCCCACCCCTTAGTTTTGGTTGAGATAGTTTATTTTAACTTGTCCAGACATTCTGCTAATTTATACCCAAACCCTGAGAGAATCTCACCTCCAGTGTGAAAATGATGCACCAAACACTTTCCACTGTATCTTCTGTATTTTGTGCGAAAACATTGCACAGAAGAACTAGCATTTTTCTCCTTTTCTGTAGCAAAGTACATGGACATAGGAAGCACAAAAGGACAAGCTGACTGATTTAAAAGATCATCCAACAAATCACCCATCCAGTGCTTCCAATAATCCATGCAATAAGGCAAAATTTATTGCCTTTTAAGTTTTACTCATTAGCAGAAATGCCGAAAAGTCAGCCTTGAAAAAGGGCAAAATTCCTCTGCACAAAATGCCATCTCATCATAAGGAGAGAATAGGCTCTTCCAGATTGGTTAGAAGAAGTTCTCACTATATTGGTTCTTGGTTTTTACCCACTGCTGTCATGCTGTGTCCACCCTTTCCATTCTGTATTGGGCTGTTTGCAGTGATTTATTGGATCTGCACAAAGGTATTTCCAAATTTATTATTATTATTAAAAAAAAAAAAGCATCGTTTGCTGAGCTGGTCCTATGGTCTGATGGTCTGAAGAGCAATTTTCATTTTTTTTAGCCATTTTTTAGAAGTATAGTATGATAATGCAAAAGTTGCATTTCATTGATGCACTATAACTTTAAGAAACAAAAAAGGTGTGAAAGGAGGAGAAGAGAAGAGAAGAGATTTTTGTTTTGATATATCTTGGAATGAAAAACAAACCCACTTGTAGGTGGGGGAAAATGATGCAGGTGGTGCCAGGAACTACTAGAAGATAATACAACACAGTAGATTTATACACACAGAGACATATACATACATACACAAACCTCAAGATATACAGCAACAAATATTATAACTTCCAACAACCTCCTGATACATTTGCCAGTGTATGTATTTCATTTTCTCATTTACTGAGCAAGGTAAGTCTTAATGTATATTCTTAGGTAAAACACTCAAAGAAATCTTTTTAAAAAGAATATCCACAAATAATACAAATTGTTTTATTGGTTTATTGTGCTAGACAAGAGCCCTTGTCGGTTGTCATGCTTTTCAGGCTTTCCAGTTGGTCTCTGTTGCCAATTATGTTTTCATTAGGAAAGGCTCACATTGTTAGCATCTCGCTGCCTATTATCATTATTATCATCATAGCCATATTTCACTACATTTTTTTCAATAAACACTGTTCTCATGGGACTGTAAATTATTTTAATGAGGGCGAAAACACTTCATTCTACACTGGCAGAAAAAAATAATACTTCATAATCAGAAAATCATCTTTTCCACAGAAGTTGACATTAACATCCAATTCAATACATTTTTCTTTATTTCTTTGTCTGTTTTATTTTTTATTTTATGTTCTACCAAAAGAGGTAGTAACAATAATTTTTAAAAAGCAAAAAGTAATACAATTTAAACATAAAAACAAGGCCAAAACACATTTTTTTAAAAAAATATACTATTTAAATGTATCCCAGGTAAGATGAGAATGAGAGCCAGCATGGCGTAGTGATTTGAGTGTTAGACTACAACTCTGAAGATAAGGGTTTGATTCCCAGCTTGGCCACAAAACTCACTTGGGCAACCTTGAGCAAGTCACACTCTCTCACCCTCAGGGGAAGGCAATGGCAAATCTTTTCTGAACAAATCTTGTCAAGAAAATCCCATGATAGGTTTGCCTTATGGTCACCATAAATCAGAAGTGACTTGAAGGCACACCGCCAGCCCCACCAACACAACAACAGCCTGTCAGAATGAAAAGCTTTTGCCTGCAGGAAGGACAACAAAAAAGGGTGTCAAGCAATCCCTTGTCTGGGAGATCAAAAGCTCAGGCAGTGGGAAGCCCTGCTCTCGGATCCTCACCAAATATGTTTCTTGTAGGCCTCAGGACTAAAAGAGGAGGAAAAAGGAAGATCTCAAAACTAAGGTAGGATCATAAGAGAAATATAATATTTCAAACAGCATGACCCTAAAATTCCATATATTCCCTGTGAATTAAAGACTGGTAAATGATAGAATTCTAGAATTGGAAAGAACAAAGGCTATATATTCCAAAACCCTGGCATACAGGAATACACAACTAAAGTATGCCTGAAAGATGCTCATCCATCCTCTGTTTAGGAGCCTCTGCAGTCCACCACCCTCTGAAGCAACTTATTCCACTGTCAATGAAAGTATAGAAGAAAGAAAATGGCAAAAGCTATATGTGCTTACAGCTCCATTCTATCCATGGTGACAAAAAAAGCCCCATAGAGGTCTAGAACCTATTGTTTTAATGGTACTTTAATTCTGTTTTCTGTCTATAATGATGAAAAATAATATTCTGTGTGGGTGTACATGCATACATACCAAGCATACCACCATGAGCATTCAAATGTACACCTGAAACCTGACAGGGGTACTAAGGGGACTCTGGGATGTGCATCTTTGGGTTCTTTTGCTTTTAAAACTGATTAACCAATTTTAGTTAAATAAAATATCATTGTAACCTGTAATATATTTAGACTGTAGCTAAACTACACAGTTACAGCAGCAGCTACTTTACACTCCAACTCCCATGGTTGCGTCTTATGATGAATAGTGCTGTATTGCAGGGGAGTTCACTGATGATCTCTAACAAAGACTTCTAAGTACCTATCAGACTATAAATCCCAAGATTCCATAGGATGGAGCTGTAGCAGTTAAAACACTATCAAAACGGTATTACAGTATAATGTAGTTTAGATAACTTCATTGTTATTTTATAACAAACCTCACTAGATACCAGAGAAGGTCTTGGGGCAATTTCATGTGCTGCTCTGGGATTAGGAATTTAACTAAATAATTCAAATTATATGGGGGGAAAGATTCCAATTAAATATTAGGAATAACTTCTAGATAGTAAGAGTCATTTGACAATGGAACAGAGAACTGCAGAAGGTGTGTGAATCTCTTCCACTGGAAATTTTTAAACACAGGATGGATGGCCACCTGTCAGGGATGCTTTAGCTCTGGATTTCTTCCCTGGAATTGAACTAGGTAGCTCATGGGATGCTTCCTGATCTGTGATTCCAAGGCCCCATTCATACTACAGAAATAACTCGGTGTGAAACTGGGTTATTTCCACAATGTTCACACTGGCCCTGAATGCATGGAGAAACCCACTTAACTGACACCAGGTCCCTTGCCACATATTTTTGAAGGTCTGGAGCAATCTGGATCTTCAGTAGTCTCAGTACACTACCAAATTGATCCAGATCACACGGGATCATTTCCTGAAATGGAGGTGCCTCCATTTTGAATCAATCCAGTACATGTGTGACTATCAACCAGGGTTTAAATGCCATGGGGATATTCGGGCACGTAAACCACAGTGGGGACATTGATTTGGTATTGTGTCACAGCAGAGATCCAGATCTCCTCAGGGCCAAAATGTAGATGTGAATTCCCCCTAAGATTACATAATTTAAATATATCTGTTGAAGCACAGCTGGATCTAATTCCAATCTTTATCACAAAGATTCAAAAGACTGAAATGTCAAGCACCAATATGACAAAACATCTGTTAAGTAAAACATTGAGGAGAAAAACTGTGGGGTGCAAATTGGGTTTCCCAGGGTGTTAACCCTTTTAAAGGGAAACAAAAATATGCAAGTATGAAAGTTAAACTTGTTAGAGTTCAGCTTTCATCAGCAGAAACAGCAAAAGTGTGGGTCAGACTATTCTAAATCTGTCTTCCTAAAGTATAAAGACTTACTCCTAAAAACAACAAACATGCAGTTTGTAGTTTAAAAACAAATAATAATGGTTTTAATAAATAAATACATAACAAACAAAGGGGGGAAGCAGACCGGAGCTTCCTGTGCGCCACAGGACGGTGCGCCGCTGGACCGCGGCAGCCGCACCGCGGCGCACCTCCGGCGAATCTAAAAGGAGCTCCAAATTGGTGCTCCTTTTAGATTTCAGGGAAAGTGCACCCTAAAAGTGGCGGGTGCACTTTACCTGACTCAAACGCCACTGCGCGTGTGGTCGCCGCGGTGTGAGGTCATCCCCGGAGTGCCGGCCGTGCGGACAGACGGCGACTCCGAGGGCGACCTCAGGAAGAGGAAGGGGCGCCGCTCGTGTGGCTGCCCCTCCTCTTCTGGGCCCGGAAGACGGCTCTATTAGCCATCTGCCGAGGCCCTAAATCCTATCCTAAGTGGTGATGGTTTGAGTATAGCAGAAAGAGACTGTTAATCTCACTCAGAGAGACTGTGATTGTACTGAGAGGAGACTATTTAGAATCTTGAGAGAGAGTCTGTTAAACAGGCTCCAAGAGGGAATGACAGGAGTCACATATTTTGATAGAATGAGATTAGTAGAGGGAAGTCCCTGTCTAAGGAGGGAAAGAAGAATGTAATACATAAAATTTCCAGCAAAAACATTTTATACAAAAGGTATCAAGAATCTAGTTTTAACTTCATCTATCATCTTTCCTTTTTTAAAAACCATCCCAATTAATAATTGCTCCTTTTAAATTGCAATTTACTCTACTTGATTTAACATTTCACAGACTTTCAGACAGAAACAAGTGTACATTTTTGTTACTGTTTTTTTAATAAGAACTGCGCAAATTTTCCAGTATCTTCATTAACCTGAGATTTTTTAACCCAAATGCTGGAGGTGGGGGATGTTTTACTCCCTGAGAATTAGAGAAATCTGGGGAAGAATCTACATAACACTAAGCCTACATGGCAGGAAGAGGCACATCTTATTTAACAAAGAAGCTATGCAGACTAGCCTAAAGGGCCAGCCTGGGAGTGGAGTTGGGGCAGGGCAGCCACATGCCAGCTGCCCCAACTCAACTCCCAATGCCATCCTGATGCCTCACACCCATCTGCATGGTGCATGGTGTCAGGATGCCCTCCTGGTGCAACGTGTACACATGCTGCGCCAAAAGGGCATGGAAGAGCTGCAACGCTGGCTCTTAGGGTGGCCTTTTGCCGCACCTAAACGAGCTGCATTTTGCCACTCTTTTGGGGGCAGCAAAAAGGAGGATTGGGGCCATGGCATGGCCCAAAGCCTCTGCCAAAGAAGCTCATTTTTACAAAGTCTTTATACACCTGCCTAACTCCTTTTCTCTTCATGCTCTGTGTAGCTGGAAGTTTGTTTTTTATCAGCATTGACCCTGGGAAGATGGTGAAGAAGGGCTGGAGGAACAGAGACATTTGTCACCAGTTTGTAGCATCATGTCTCCAGTAAACAATCCAATAGAGCTTGAGCTTGGAAACAGTGGGATTCTCCTCTGCTAGATGCTACTGGAGCTGTGTGTGTATGCCTACAACAAGGAAAGTAAATAGCTGTTGTCTTCAGATTCCCAGCATGTGTGAACAGCAAAACACAAAGAAACCAAGAGAAGATAAGTCTGACTCACCAGCTCCTTCAAAAGTATATATTTAAAAATCTGGCCACCAAAATGGGGGGGGGGGAAAGAAAACTAGATGCTAGCAAAAAGAGGGGGGAGGGATCATCCCTGTATATATTTTGGAAGAAGCCTTTAAAAAGTTTCTAGTAGGTTCAAGAATTTTTTTTCTTGACTTCTTCCCTGACCTCATTGTTTTGTTCTTCACACACATAGACTGAGGGCCTGGGAGCGGCAGATGGGGCCACAGCAACCACATGCCGCAGCCCCGATCCTCCTTTTTGCTGCTCCCAAAAAAGCAGCAAAATGCAGCTCCTTTTGGGGGCAGCAAAAGGCCAACCTTAGACCTGGCGCTGCAGCTCTTCTGTGCCCTTTTGGTGAAGTGTGGGTGCACGCTGCGCCAAGAGGGTGTCCTGATGCCATGCACCATGCAGACAGGTGCGTGGCATCAGGACGGTGTCAGGGTGGTCGGCATGCGGCTGCCCTGCCCCAACACAACCCCAGACCAGCCCTTTGTGCTGGTCTGCATCACCCCTTAATTTTGTATAAAAAAGTTTGCTGAAACGTGTTGAAGTGCTCTTCTTTTCTGTGGAAGAATCTATCACTATTTTTTCCATGTTATTTCTGCCTCTGGTACCAAATGTTCTGTTAAAGAAGTAAAGCTCAGGAACATCACTACTTTGTTAACTGAGGTAGATCTTTATTCTGCATCACAGTTAACTGAAAAGTTGTAAACAGTTTCCCCAGATTTCAACCACTTTCCATGTCCAGTTGTTTGTTTTATTTTTAAAATACAAACATGTGGTTGTTTTCACATATAATCTGTGGCTTTAATGTATTTTAATTTCCTTTCAGAACAATTATTTTACATTACTGTACTGTAATATGTTTGCTGTTTGCTATGTGCTAATGCAATTAAAGTGAACTGAACTGAATTAGTGACGTCACTAGGGTTGGTGTCATCCAGTGCAGTAACTCATGGTGTTATCCCCCCATTGATCTCCTTCCTATGCCATGTCATACAAAATTCTTAGTAATGTTTCTTAGTACTAATGTTGCTCATGACCTGTAATTTTTGTATGTCATTGAATGTAATAGTAATAATTGTGACATAAACAACTAGCAAAATTTAAATTATACCTTAAATTACATAATATACACACTCTATATGTATTTACATGCACAT